TGGCCCAGAAACCAAGAATTTAGGTTTTTTCAGTGTTGGGAACTTGATTTTGCCAGAAGGTGGGTTTATGTCAGCATCTGGTGCTTTGATATCAATGTCAGCTTTTGGTAAGTTCAGATCAGCATCAGGTGCTTCAGCAGACAGACTGAGGTCAGGTGCTTTCACATCAGCATCAACATCAACATCTGGAGCTTTCACCTTTGGCCCAGAAACCAAGAATTTAGGTTTTCTCAGTGTTGGGAACTTGATTTTGCCAGATGGTGGATTTATGTCAGCATCTGGTGCTTTGATATCAATGTCAGCTTTGGGTAAATTGAGGCTCACGTCAGGTGTACTAATCTCCCCATCAATTTTTGGAACTGAAGCATCTGGTGGGCTTAAATCTGCATTGAGGTCCATATCAGCTTTTGGCCCATTAAGTTTGGATTTTTTCCACTTTAGATGAGGCCAGTTAATTTTTCCTGAAGGAGCATCTATGTCAGCGTCTGGGGCATGAACATCTACACCCGGGGCCTTTAGCTCTGTTTCTGGAAGACTCAGCTCAGCATTTGGTACATTAATGTCACCCTCAATCTTTGGAGCTGAAAGACTTAAATCAGGTTTCTTTAGGTCTGCATCCATGTCCAAGTCTGCTTTTGATCCTTCAAGTTTGGGCTTCTTCCATTTCAGGTGAGGCCAGTTGATCTTACCAGAAGGGGCATCAACGTTAAGATCTGGGGTTTGAACATCTAGATCAGGGCCTTTAATATCAGCTTGAGCTGAGCCAACATTCACATCTGGGGTACTTAGATCACCATCAATCTTTGGTGTGGAAATGCTGGCATTAGGTGTGGACAGGTCAGCATCTGGTCCTTTGAGTTTTTGACTTTTCCATTTTAGATGGGGCCACTTGATTTTCCCTGAGGGTGCCTCAATATTAGCATCTGGGGCCTTTACATTTACATCAGGACTATTCAAATCCACTTTTGGCCCATTCAGCTCCAAATCATTACTTTTCAAATCTAACTTTGGAGCTGACAGGTTGAGGTCTGGTCTCTCCATACTTCCACTGACTGAAGGAAGACCTGGATCACCAGAGACATCAGTGTCTGCTTTTGGTGCATCAAGATCAGATAGATTGAAGTGTGGCATTGTGAATTTCGGGGCCTTGTGTTTCAGTTTGCCTTCGGCTTCTGGTTTGTTGATGTCTAGTGTTGCAATGGGAGTGTTAAGATTGGGAGCTGAGACACTGATATCAGGTACTTCTAGGGTTCCACTTGAATCTGATTTTATGTCTGGCATCGTAAGCCCTGCGGAGGGCATTTTAAATGTGGCACCAGCATCAGTTGATGGCTTATTTAGGCTAAGACTGGGAAGGTCTCCATTAAGAGTCGGTTCACTTATTTTTACCCCCAACCCTTGTGCATCATTAAGCTTTCCATTCAGGCCATCAAGGGAAACGGTTGGTCCCTGAGCTGATGCATCCAGCGACAGATCCTTCTGTAATATCTGTTGGTAATTAAAAAAACAAAATTAAAGCACTAACTTTATGACTATTAACCAAAATTGTATTCTGAGCAGCACAAATCATGTCCAGTTCATCTGCACTGCAGCAAGGTGGGGGTAGAAATGGGAAATAGAAGATGTCATGGACAAATAGGATGGACTAGATTAAGTAAATCACCACCACCTCACAAAACGTCCCCATACATTAGGTCACTTGCATCAGTAAAATATATATATTGTATGTTGAAATAAGCAAACTGACCCGTCTTCTTAGAAAGCACTGATATGCTTACTATTGCTTAATTTTGGTAACAGATTCGAGAAAAAGATTTTTACGTAGGGGATTTTAGGCTTCACATATGCAGTTTTTAGAAAAAGGATTTAATGTCTAACTGGATCTCTTTTCAGATATATTGTGATTTGACAGTTCATTGAAATTCTGAAAGTCAATATTTCAACAGTTCTCATATACAAAAAGGTTTAAAAATGTATAAATAAAAACATATTTTATGGTGTTTCCTATAATAACATAAACCAAATGTTCCCCACAGCTTGATGCTTACCGCTGCCGAATCTTTGAGACCTACTCCCAAAGAGCCAAGGTCAACACCGGGGCTCAAGTCCTTCTTTGTCAGAAGATTTATGTTGCTTTCGTACGGCTCCAGCACCTTCAAGATTTTCTCCACATCGTTTTTCTCAAGTTTATCAAGTTGTATTGTTGCTGCAACAAACCTTTCTCCTGAAAGGAGCAGAAATAATGTCACATTCTTTTTTTCTATTAGTGCTTATTGAATTTTCAAAACTAACAAAAATGAATCTGAAATGTTTATCTTACCACTTTTTGGAGAGATTGTGTTGTCTTTGATTCCTGCAACAACAACTCCTTTCTCAGCGTTATCCAGCACGAGGCTTTCTGAGAAGCTTGCACTCTTGCTGTCCTGGTCCTTTGACAGTGGTTAGAATACACAGTGTGAGATTTTTACATCAGGCACTGTTTACATTTTTGTGTATGATTGTCAGCCACTGTATGTCTAACATTGTTATACTTACCATTATTTCTATTACATGCACATCCACATCACAGAATTCATATGACAATTCAAGCGAATGTGGGAACTACAGCAATATTATCTGTGAAACACAAAAGAAAGCAGAGGGAGCTTTTACTTAAAGCTGACACCGACTAAGTAAGATGCAGGGAAGCAATGCTGAATGTCGTTTTTGTAGGTAAAAGTAAAATCAGATCATTTTATTTTTTCTAAAAGCTGTACTCTTTCTGATCTCTCATCACAAACAATGCAGCAACATGCAGCTTTCAGCTTATTAATAAAAACACTGGTTTAGGTATACTGTAGGTGCAGCTAAAAAATAGTGTGTCACTGTTTCTACCCGTGCAATAACATTTTTGTAATACCTGATAATACGATCCACATGAAGACACACAAGTGAAACGCGTTTTGTTTCTTTAAAGAAGAGCTGGTACTTTTATTCATTTTTTCCTGATTCTGAACTGACAGAGAAACTCTGACGCCCACAAACCACATTGTCTCACACTTCAGGAATCTAAAGCCTTTGCCAGGTTTGTTAAGGTGTATGTAGGCATCTAAACCAGTTGGTTTGGATGCATTCTGACTGACACACACTGGATTCGACCACACCTCAACACATTCGCATATAAACACTAACGTAATTCAGTTGCAGCAGTGTCGAATAGAAAATGAGGGAGCAGGTCTTAGACATGCTGTGATAAAAACCCTAAACTCAAGAGCGTCTGCTTCATCAGGTTTATACTGTCCAGCAGAGCTAAGAGTCAGACGATCGTCAACACCATGCTTTTAAATTCAACTCAAAAAAGAAATCAGATGTGGTAAAAACAGTCACTCAAATTGAAACAAACAGGACTTCTGAAAAAAAACAAAACAATACTTACAAAACTAACTGCTAATTGATTATTATTGGCCAACACCCACTGGTGATAACACAGTCCATCTCAGGAGTTCTCTTTCTTTAAATATAGAAACTACTAACCAGGTAATAACCAGATGACAGTAGATAAATCTAATTCTTCAGTGAGAGCTCAGAAAACTGTAGTCATATGCTCAATGATGCCGTTTCAGGCATTCTTGACTTGCAAGGAAACTGGGCAGTGGTTTTAGGCTCTACCTTATGGTTCCCCAAACCAGCGATGAGCAACAAACAGGAAAGGCAGTGAAGTCACAAGACACTTCTTAAAAAACTAATTGCATTGCCGTTAATAGGTGTATCCAGGGTGGCAACGTTTTGAGAAACAACTTCAATCAAACAGGGTGTGAGCCCTGACAGCAGAGTCTGGCATGCCCACAGTTGTGGTCAACCTGTTTTAAAATCTTTATGCTAGACAAACTCTGCAGTTTGGTGCTGACATACAAGTACAACAATTTAATACGTTTAAAAAAAATCAATGACACCAGAGGCAAAACATAAGCAAACGCCTCATCCTTAAATGGCTTCAGTATTAATTCAGACTTTCCACCCAAGTCTGTGAGAGGACGGGGGTCAGTCTCAGTACTCGAATGAAAACTTTTTACTCTCCAGAACATAAATGTAACTGATGTGAAGTACAGAGATGAACCGATACCAACTACAATGTACATTTTACTGAAATGCAAGTTTTAGATTTTGAAATGAATAAACATTAAGGTATTTTTTTTATCAAATCTCCTCCAATTTATTCCAATCATAGATTGTGCCATAACAACCAAACTGAGATTTGATGGACTTACCGCGTGCCAAAGACACCGTCTCCTTAGGAAAGCCTAGGGCCAGATGTCTCCTCTTCAGTGTATCACTGCTGCTCTGTGGGCAGGACGAGGTGAAGCTGCCAGTTGAATACCTATAATGCAGGCAAACAGGTTAGGCAGCATCAGGACCGCCTCTTTTGGAGCCCCCTTGCAACAAATCCGCACACACAGACACACACCCCCACACACCTTAACTTCAGACTAGGCCTTTAGGCAGCCGAAACCTGACTAGAAAGCACAAGAGAAAGATGTATGAGTGAGAAACACCACTCCTTATCAACAGGACTAACCAGGTCCACAAAGGTACAAACAAGCAGCAACACTTGCTTACACTTCATTTTGCCTCAGTGTCTATTTTTTTAAACAGTTGTTTGCTAGTTAAAGACTCCTGATTATCTACATTCCTTAAAAACTGCCATATTTAATGCTGCACTCATTTTTATTCATTTTGGTATACTTGTACATATTTAGTACACTGAAATTTAACAAGAATAATAAGTAAACGTGATTATGTTTCAAGCTTGTAATCCAATTTTCACAGCACAATGACCTGATGAGGTGCTAGGACAGCAGGATTAAAAGCGTGTAGAAACTGAAACAGATATAAATGTTCTTGTGTTTAAAAACATACATTTCCCCCAGTTGCACCAACCTCTCAAAGTGCTTTAGTCCTCGACCACATTTGACCATACCTTCATAAAGAGCTGTATTTTGTATACTTCCAAGCACTTTGTCTACTCCACATCCATGGTCAATTTAGAATCAAAAACCTAGCATGTATGTGTTTGGTGTGTAGGAAGAAGGCCCAGAGAAAACCCCCACAGGCACAGGGAAAGCATGCCAGCTCCACAAAGAAACACTTGTTAATGGCTTCACGGGCTTCAAAGTCACACAATTGGCATTTTGCTTTACAGCTAATGATTGTCAAATGGGCTACAAGTCAACCTCTAGCAGCAAGAGTGCACACGCTTCAGTGTCAGTGAACTCAACAGTAAAAACTAAGCAAACCATGAGTCCAAATATTTCCAGTGTTTGTGCTAAGCTAACTGATAGCTAGCTTCCTAAATAGTTTGTAAAGCACTTGAGCGTGTAAGGCTAAAAGCTGCACGCTCAGTTTGCAGCATCCAAAGAATTATGTCGGACACTTTCTTAAACATGAAATTAGGTTCAACGCAGGACTTTTCATATTCATAATTTAAACATATTCTGAGAGCATGTAGACATCAAAGCCCTCCAACAAATACAACATTGAAATAATGTTTAGTCTTGACCATTCACTAAAATAAATCAAATTCAAATTTTATTTGTCACGTACACAGTCATACACAGTACGATATGTAGTGAAATGCTTGGACAACTGCTTGTGACCTAAAGAGAACAAAAAAGGAAAAGGCTATGAATAAGATAGGAAATAAATATGAAAAATTAAAAAGGGTAAATTTAACTAGGAAGGAATAAAATATAAATTAAGGTTAAAAATGAAATAACTGTACAACAAAATACACAATATAGAACTATATAAGAATGTATGAAGAAATATAAATAAATATATACACAATAACAGCAGCTGTACAAGTATTAACTGGAAACACTACTTTATAATGAGAATGTCGTTTTTGCATTACAACATAACACAATGGACAAACATAATATAAATTATTTGCAATCAAATTTAACAAAAGTCTGCAACAACAACCTTCAGCACACAGCCCTGGGACCAGTATGACACTGCTGCTCTCTGAGCTCAGTTTCAGACTTTCTCTGAAACCTTTTTTTGGCTGACAGTTGGCCTGTGCTGTGCAACACCCCCACACTTCCACTGCTGATTTTACTGCCTCAATAACTTGTCGGCTGACCGACTGCGAGTCTGCCTTGTGTGTCATGGGCCTGCCACTTTGTTTAGGTGTTGAAACAATTCTGTCAGACATTTTCGGAGAACAACTTATAATGATGACGAACTGGAGTGGCATTTTCCCGCAAAGCATTTTAGCTATTCTGCAGAGAATGTCACCTGTAAAGCCGTACCCGACTGTGCAGCAAGTCACTACCCAACCCATGTGACCAGTTAATACAATGTGATGACTGTGTAGAAGAGACACTCAGAAGGGTGTTGTCAATGTGAAATGATAGCAAAACACAGATCAACAGAAACTTGAATTCCCAAGAAACAGGAGGAGTCACTTCATGTATTACGATTTTACTGTGTCTATTTCTTTAAGTGAGAGAGATCATTGATCACACAAGGGCCAAGCAGAGCTCCATCTTCAGCTCCATCTGAGAGAAACACCCCTGGAATATTTCTGAAGGTGATAAACCAACCTTACGTTTCTAACAGTGAAAGAAAGATCAACCAGAAGTGAGGGACAATTCCTGAGTATAAAAAGTATAGATTGCAATTTTCTGTCTAACCTTAACTTAGACAGACTTCAGCAGTGTGACAACATGCCACAGAGCATTATTGGAGCATTAAAATCTCTAGTGGCTGCCACTGTAGCTGGTGGATATCTGGATAATGGATGTAAATTTCCTTCAGGGTAAATAAAGAGTCTATGTATACCAAAACTTGCTGTTTCATGTGCAGTCATCAATATGTTTCTCTTGCTGTCCACAAAGACCGTTTAGAGTCATTCAGACATTACTGATCAGCAAAACTTTTACTACAAATGCAAATGAAGCAAGAAGCATCTGGTACCTAACTTCAGCCTCCTGCTGACAAATTCTAATGCAGATACCCATTAATACAGATTACAGTTGATTCAGAAGATCTGTCCTTTCTCCTGGTTTATAATAATTGCTATAGGGCTCAGTGCCAAACAGCATCTCGAATACTGCGAGACAGTATGTCAAACTGAGGCACTCGCACAAGGGGCAAACTTCAAAACAGCAGTTGTGGTAAATGTGGCTGTGGCACCTTCGCTGAACACATCACTCAAGCAGCAGAATGTGTTACACAAATCATCCTCCACTTACATCTGTGTGGGCATGTATGTCTGTGTGAGTCCTATTTTCATTTGTATGACCACACCAACCTTAAATGGAAACAAATGTGTAGGTTCAGTTTTCGTCATCACAGCTCTAGAGGCTCTTGACTCTGAGGCGAGATGAATCACTTCATCGCTACTCTGTATTTACGTTTTGAGGAACTAAATCCACACTGTATACAACAGGCAACTCAAGGCCTCGAGTGCTGTGTCCTGAACCGCTGATTTAAATGGCTAAATGACCTGAAGTTCTCCAGAGGCCTGCTAATGAACTAATCATGTGATTCAGATGTGCTGACCCAGGGCGAGATCTAAAACCTGCAGGACACCGGCACTCGAGACCTGGAGTTGGATATCCCTGATATACAGTCACTAATCAAAAATCTCTGAGCTAGTTTCCAGGACTTAAGATAAGTTTTACGACTTTCCATTTGTGGCTGTTGATATCTAAAATATCCTGTTACAGAGCATGACGAGTCTTTTTTAATGCCATCCATCCATCTTCATCTCCGCTTCATCCGGGTCGCGGGGGCAGCAACCTAAGCAAAAGAGGCCCAGACCTCCCTCTCCCCAGCCACCTCCTCCAGCTTGTCTGGGGGAATACCAAGGCGTTCCCAGGCCAGCCGAGAGATATAATCTCTCCAGCGTGTCCTGGGTCTGCCCCGGGGCCTCCTCCCGGTGGGACATGCCTGGAACACCTCACCCAGGAGGCGCCCGGGGCTATATGATAAGCCCACCCGTCGGGTGGGGCTGAGATAGATTTTGGTCACCTGAGATATCGCTAGCTCCGGGACATCGGGCTAGCGATTTTGCGAGCCCTGGTACATATTATTTTTATATCCATCAGTCATTGTAATGATCTACCTTTTAATTACACATTTACTCATGTAGACCTTGTTAATACTGGGTTGGAACCCCTTTGTCCTTTAGAAATCCTACATTCTCTGCTTGCCCTTCTCATGGCGTAGATCTGACAAAGTACTAGAAATATTCCTTTCAGATTTTGGTTCGTACTGCCACCATAGCAGCACAGTTGCAGCTGCACGTCCACCGTCAAGTTCAGGAAGCCAATTTGAGATGATTCGAGTTTTGTGACATGGTTTGTTATGCTTCTGGAAGACTGTGGTCTCACAGGGATAAATGTGGTCAGCAACAATAACCATGTAGGCTGTGACATCTAAACAGGGTTCAGTTGGTATTCAGAGGCCAAAATGTGCCAAGCAAACATCCCCTACATTGTGACAGCACCAGTCTGAACCACTCATACAAGACAGGACGGATCTTTTCATGTTGTTTTCGCTAAATTCTGATCCAAAAATCAAAACTCATCAGACCAGGCAACGTTTTCCTATAGTTCCACTGTCCAATGTTGGTGAGCCAGCGCCAACTGGAGCCTCAGTTTACTGTGGTTAACTGCTGCAACAGTCCATCTACTTCAAGTTTCAATGTTTTGGACATTCAGAGATGCTCTTCTGCATACCTTTGTTGCAATGAGGGGTTATTGAGTTACTGTAGCTCAAAGCAGTCTGCACATTCTCCCAGACATTAACAACATATGATTGCTCGCTATAGACTATATATGGTTTTTTGACAATTCCCTGAAAAACCTGGAGATGGCTGTTTTGAGTTGATCCGAGTTCATAAAATACTCAGATCAGCTCATCCGACCTACTTAAGGAAAGGATGGTCATTTGGACTAACAAAACCTGTCTGTTACATCAAAGTATCACTTATAAAAGACAATCTTAGCATCCTAGGTATTTCAAAAGAAAGGTGGCCACTGACTACTGACTCAAAATATGTTTGTTTGGTTTGTTTTTTAAGAGGAGTTCAGAATAAGGCACCAGGCTGTAAGCCATATGTGTTCAAACTTGTATTTTCATTTGTTTTGGCTTTGAATATATAATTAAAATCTTAAAGGTGAAAATTACTGACGGCTGAATCAACACTAGTTTGATAAACAGAGAAAAACCTATTTTGACTTACACTTGCGACGTGCACTGTGCAGCACAACAGGAAACTCCAACACCATCAAACAATGATTTGGAACAGCTGAATTCAGTCAGACTAATGGGCATGAGAAGTAAAAACAAAGGAAACAGCACCGGGAATCAAAATGTCAAAATAAAACAGGAAGTACACAAAAAGGGGTTTAAAAAAAGAGTAAAACATTTACCAGAACAGGAACTGAGGAATGTATAAAAGACAAAATTCAAAACTTCAAATAGTCATTTTTAAATATTGGATCACTCAATTGTAACAAATCAGTAACATTCACACCCATTTCAAGAGACAGCTGTGAGAAAATTCTGCCTTTTTATTTGTTCTGCAGCTATTTCTACATATGTTATCTGGATAATGTCTGATTCATGAATGTGCTACATTCACCTTATCACAACTGCGCCCGTGTCAAGTCAGCCCTGTGCCAAGATAATGTTATTGCTGCTTCCTGTAGCTGGAGTTAGCAATAAGTGGATTAAGTTGACCTCTTACTTATGGCTTTTCTTCATAATAAGGCCAACGTGCTACCAACCTGGCCCCTTCTTATTACCAGCAGACGAGTAAACCTGAATTTCTAGGTTCTAATAAGCTCGGTGAGCATGTCTAACCGCACATATGGGAGACATTGTTTTCTTACATCAGTTAATACCACTACTTCTACCAACAATAATAATAACAATTATTACTATTATCGTCAACATGAGAGCACAAACCAAGGTAATGAACACAAATGAGAGTGGTGAGAGAGATGGGGTGGGACCATCCCAGTATTGAGCTGCTGCAGAGGTATCGTGGCAGAAATACTGGCTCTGGTGACTAGAAGATCCTGTCCTCCTCAGAGGACCAAGAAACCAGAGCAGGCTAAAGCTGCTGGCTACAAAATATTTACAAATGTACAAGGAAATACTCATTTGGATTTTGAGTTAAAGTCACGATTTTCATTGATGTGAGGGCTGGTGTCCTTTGTATTTCATCTTTTTCATTCAAGTTTAATTTAATCACAAAGAAAGTTTAAAGATAAGGTTCAGAGAAGAATATAAAGGAATTAAAATGGCATTAAATCATCTTTACTTCAATCTCTAAACTCTTTTACACAATGTGTCACAATGATTGCTCTCAGTTGGACAGCTCCATATGAAGCACTTTACTAGAAATTCATAGTAAACATACCTTGTGTGCCACAGACTGCTCCCAAACACGAGGGGACAAGTAATACCTCTAAAACACTTAAGTTGGCTTTATTAAACGTTAGATCTTCAGCTGGGAAAACATTTTAATTAATGATTTAATCACTGAGCACAGCCTTGATTTTATGTTTTTAACTGAAACTTGGTTGGACCAAAGTAACAGTGGAGCTGTT